TGATCGATCGATCTATCGTTTTTATTAATAATTTTTTTTTTTTTTTTTTTACAAAATCAATCGTTTAATCATCATTTTTTTTTAAACAAAATTAAAATTTCTAATCCCTTTTCTTTCTCTCTCTCTCGTTGTTTTTCAAAATCGTAAAATCTATTCAATTTTCACATCAGCCTCAGCCACACCACAATGGAAAAAAAAATTGCTTCACGTCTCACGACGAGAAATTTATTATTATTATTATTATTTATTTTTTGTTAAAAAAATTCGCGAATGTTTTTCTTTTTCCACGACAAATTAAAAAGGTTTACATTGTTATTTCTTTTTGTTTTGTTTTCTATTCACTAAAAACAAAAGCGAGTAAAGCAATTTTTTTTCCCCTTAATTACTTTTTTTATTATTAATAACAACAACAACAACGACAACCACATATTTTTGTTTAATTTCTCTATGTAAATTTTTAAAAATGAATAAAAAATTGCGAGATATGCGAGATTGGCGGGAGAATATAAAATTTTTGTACGACGACGATGACGCGGATAAAAAATAAATAAATCGGGAAAATTTACTGCCAATGGCCTGACATAAAATTTTGAACTGAAAAAAAAAAAAAAAAAAAAAATGGGTTCCGATAATCACAATCACCGGAGGGAAATTTCAGAAAAAAAAAAAATGAAAGGACAAGATGTCATTGAACCTGAAACATTAAAGAACTCGATCCTGAGGACGTCATTACACAAATATACTTTTTTTTTTTAACAAGAGAAAATGAAAATTTAACCTCGTGTTATATTAGATTTGCATCTGGAAAGCTGGAAAAAGAAAGAAAGAAACAAACAAACGGATGTTTCTAATTCAAAACATTCAAAGTTCCTGTGATTCGACTTGTTTTGAACGAAATTTAACCGAAAAACTCTGCGATACAAACAAAACCACCTCCTCCTCTCCTCTCGTCGTTGACAGCAGAAGACATTTATTTATCAGTAGAAAAAAAAAAAGACAGAAAGAGGAAGAGAATAACACGCAGTAGAACGGATTAAGAAATATTTGATAACGTCGTTTTTTTTTTTTTTTTCGTCGAAAATGATTTATTCAAAAGAAACAATTCATTTCTATCATCTACCATCATGGATTTGAAATAAATGAAGGGAAAACAACCGACAATGAGATAACAACCAAATATTAAAAAAAAAAGAAGAACGATTCATCTTTACTTCCCTCAACGATCGATACTTGAACATAACACGATGGAAAGAATCAAACAAGGATAAATAGTTGATAAGAACCCGGATGATAACGGCGGAGGCCTTCCACCAAAATAACAAATCGGGATGAGAATGTCAAGAGAATACAAAACGGAAACGGAAACGCTTCTGTCGTCTACCAAAAACCTACGAAAAATCTCATCGGGTAAAAAGTTACAAAAGCAAAACATGCAAAAAATGATGATGATGATGATAATTTTTCCCGACACATACCAACTACAAACTCGGTTGGATTAAATCGTGGAAGAAGACAAAACCCCCAAGTCGCGCAAATTGTACCGGAAATAGAAATTAAAACAAAAAAAAAAAAAAAAAAATTAGTAACGATTAATTAAAACGGTTGTGAACCCGCGAAAACAAAATTAAAAAATAATCAGACATTATTATTATTATTATTATCATTATCATCATTATTATTATTACTATTATTATTATTATTCTCTTCGCTACCGGAAATTATTATGAAAATTCCTTTTTTTTTTTTTTTTTGACAATTTAAAAAAAAAGAGAAAGTAAACAATTGAAAATTACATTTCCTTTTTTTTTTTTAATAAAAGTACGCATAATAATAATAATAATAATAACAATAACGAACAAAAGAATACAGAAAAAAATTTAATGAAATTATAAAAAAACAACGGGATGGAAAAAGGAAGATTATAATAATAATAATAATAATACTCGTGAAGATGATTATGATTATTACGTACGGAATTAATTGCAATTTTTTAATTTCTTTTTTTTTTTTTTTTTTTTTTTACAAACGACGACGATTCGGGATGATCAGTGACCCTTTTGACCTCAATTTTTTTCCTTCCTCCTCCCCCTCCCCTACCCCTCCCTTCACACAACCGCAAAAAAAAAAAAAAAAAAACGGAACACGAATCTTTACTATCGAACCTTTTATTTGACAACGAACGATGAACCTGAAAACACAACCTCTCCAAAATTCATTTCGTTTGTTTGTTTGTTTGTTTGTTTGTTGTTTGTGAGATGTGTCAAACGAATGAAACTCAATTTATTCAATTTCGACAAAATGATAAAAGATAAACAAAAAAAAAAAAAAAAAAAAAAATTAGGGGACCGGACGGCAAACAAAAACGAGGGGAAGAGGGAGAGAAAAAATTATTCACGTTTCCCCCCAACGTTTGCTTAGTTTTTTTTTATTATTGGCCGACATAATCCATTCGTGTCGACAGGATGAATTCGAATTATAAAAACCGGAAATGAATGAAAAAAAAAATTACGTGACGTTTGATGGCTGTTGCTCCCGATGACAAACATTCGCATTCATTTTTCGTTTGTCGAAAGAGAGAGAGAGAGAGAGAGAGAGAGAGAAAGAAAATTCTCGGCAAGTATGAATATTTATAAGGAGAACTTACAATTCGTCGAAACGTTACAGAATTTAATAAAGCCATCAAAAAAATCAAATCGGGGATCCCGCGGGGAGGGGGGCGCTTGGGGGGGGGAGGTTGGAAGAGAGAGAGAGAAATTTTTTTCAAAATAAGCCAAATATTGCGAAAAAATCTCACAATCGGATTTTCAAAATTACGACCGTACTATCGCAATTATTTGCTGCGGTTGTTTTTTTTTTTTTTTTTTTTCTGTTTTTTGCCCCCCTTTCGAAAATATTAATAATAATAATAATGATAATATTCCACCGCTAGATTCGCCACAAAAAAAAAAAAAAAAACGAAAATTTAGATTTTCCATTTTGATTCGGACGACATGAGAATAATAATAACGGGAAAAAAACGTTTCATTCACATTCGCAATCATTATTATTATTATTTTGTTTTATTTCCCCATACGAAAAATTTTACTTTTCCTTTTTTTTGTGTAAAAGTAATCAAAGCTAACCAAATAATAATAATAATAATAATAATAATAATAATAATAATAATATGAGTCAGTATCGAGTCACTGACCTATGAATGATAACGGTTTCATTACCAGAAAAAACACCATTTGAATGATTAGATGAAAAATAAGTGAGAGAGAGAGAGAGAGAGCGAGAGGAGAGTGATCACAGTTTAATCTCATGACTTTATGGACCATTTGTAAAACTCAACACAACAAACAACAACAAACGAACGAAACAAACAACAAGAACGAAAAAAAAAAAAAAAAAAAAAAAATGTCTCGCAAATTGATTTACTCGATTTTTTTTTTTTTTTTTAAAGACACGCACAACTGTAATTACATTTAACCGCGCGCGAGATGAGAGGGGAAAAAGGAGGAGGAGGAGGAGAGATGAGATGTTACGAGATTATATGCTAAAATGTCGTTTGTTTCACTCATTTTGTTGTTTGTCGCTAAAATGTATAAGAAAATAATAATAATAATAATAATAATGATAGTAGTCTTTATAATTTTATTTTTCTCTTTTCATTAGTAATTATCACTATTTTTATTTCTATTATTATCATTATTATTTCTATTAAATGACCTTAATATTATATTAAAGAAAGATGGATGAACCTTTTTTTTTTTTACGTTTTTCTTTTCTTATGAAACAAGTTCAAGTGTGAAAATTTTTAAGAGTCTCTTTAATAATAATAATAATAATAATAATGAAAATTCAACGTTGATAAAGAAAATGAAAAGAAAATTTTTTTTTTATTATTTTCCCAAAGGAAAACTCGAACTCTTTTTTTTTTTTTTTTTTCTTTCTTTTGTTATGATTAGAAAATTGAAATTTTATCGAATAAAAGTTGTAATAATAATAATAATAATAATAATAATTTTTAAAAAAAAATTTCAATTTTACTCGAACATGTATCCAATAATCCCCCAAAAAAAAAAATTTCTATTCAATCATTTGTAATAGAAATCTTTGAAAATGAATTCGATTAAATAAAAAAAAAAATTATTATTATTATTATTATTATTATTATTTATGTAGCATTAGCAAAAGAGTCTCATTAAAAGTTTCCATACATAAACAAAAAAAAAAAAAAAAAAAATTAAATGAAATCAAATCAATTGAACTTTGAACTTTGACAAACATTACTAAATATTTATTTTTAATTTATACTCGAATGTCAGAAAAATATTATTCACATGTGTATGGTTACATTTTTAAAAAAAAAAAAAAAAACAAAGAAAATGAAACTTGCCCACAAAACAATCAATATAGTTTACTCGATAGTAACAACAACAACAACAACAACAAACGCATAAAAAAAAAATTTAATTTTTTTAAAAAAGAAAACGAAATGAAAATTTATTGATAAAATGTTATTATTATTATTATTATTAATAAAACCATGCATGAGGTTTGCATATAAATTTAATAGAGTGTTAAACATTAACACGATGATGAATTAACAATGAAATATTATTTATGGGAAGAAAAAAAAAAAAAAAAAAAACACAAAATGCTGACAATTTTTTTTTGTTTATCTAAAGGTCAAAATATTTTTCATTATTTTTAACTAATTAGTTTTAATTATTTATATATAAAATATATATAAATGTTTGTCAAATGTGTTACTTTGTCAAATGAAAATTAAAAAAAAAGCAAAAAATATTTTAAATAAATAAATAAAACAATTTTCCTTTTTTCTTTTAAAGTAAAATGATTTCAAATCATTATCGAATGTTATTGATTGAATGCATTTGCTCATGATAAATTATTAATAATGATGATGATGATGATGAAAAGAGTAATGTTATTTGCAAAATTTTCATCGAGTAAAATAAAGAAATTTTTTTTTTTTTTTTTTTTGTAAAAACCCACTAAAATTATTATTATTATTATTATTAATTATTTTCATGCATAATTGTCGAATGTAAATTTCCCATTCAAGTAATAATAATAATGTTTACACTACAAAAAAAAAAACATTCAATGGTTTTTATATAAAAAAAAAAAAAATTAGTAAAAAAAAGAAGCGTTTAGTATTATTATTATTATTATTACCTACATAAAATTTAAAAATAAAAATATTTAAAAAAAAATCAATAATTGCCGTTTGTATGTTTGCCCAATTATTTAACAGTAAAATATATATAAAATTATTATTACCGTAAAAAATAATTTAAAAAAAAAAAAAAAAACATTGAACGGTTAAACATTAAATAAAATAACTGTTATAATAATAATAATAATAATAAAAATGAGGGGGGAAAAAAAAAAAAATTTATGTAAAACATGGTTAGAGAAACACGCAAGCACACGATAAAAACAAAACTAAAACTCATGCCGGATGAGTAAACCGTGAAAAAATAAATTTTTTTATTTTTATCATAACCAAAACAAACAAACAAACAAACAAAAATTTCATTAAATTTTTATTTTCAATAAAAAAGAAAGAAAAAACGTAATAAAATATGAATATATATATAACAAACCTAATTTAAAAAATCCTGTGTGAGATAAATTATTTATTAACCCCCCCCAGTGTAAATTAATTTTAATTTACAAAAAAAAAATAATAATAATAAAAACGCTTTGTTAAATATTGTCACAACAACAACAACAACAACAACAACGGGATTAAAAATTATATTTATATATTTAAATATGTCTAACGTTTTTTTTCAATAACGCACGTTTTGACCTTCATATTATTTAAAATCGCACAAAATTTAATTTAAATTTTTTTTTTCTTTTACTATGTTTTAAATATAATAATTTTTGTTTTTAACTTTTCTTTTTCTTTCTTTCGATATTTACTTTATTTTTTTTCCGTTAACGTTTTTTTTTTTTTTTTTCATTTAAAAAAAAAAAAAAAAAAAAAAAAAATTCTTTGTTTTCTTTGTCTTGAACTAAATCATTTTCTACTCTTTGTTGTTGCTCCATAACATTATTGAATTGATAGAAATTATAATCATTCGATATATTTCGATTAATCGAAAGGTATCGAAAGGAACGCGCCACGTTAAAAAATTATTCATTTCAGTTGAGTCTTTTTTAACGTTTTTTTTTTTTAAAAGTAAACGGTTTTACAAAATGTTTTTTGGTTGTTTTGGTTGTTTATAATTAATATTTATATATAATTTAATTAATTTAAACAAATAAAGAAAATAAAAATCGTTTCGAAATCGAAATAATTGAAAATATTTTAAGCCGGTAAGTTTTATTATTTTTATTTTCATTTAGTATAATAATTTTTATGTTAATTTTGTTTTATTTAATTTAAACATGTGTCAAAGGTTTGATTTGTTTGTGTAAAATAAATCTCTTGCAATATTAGCTGACGTGTTAATTTTAAAAAAAAAAAAAATAATCATCGTCAGCATTTTTGCATTGATGTGTACTCATGACACCATATTAAAATGTTTAACTCAATTTTTTTTAATATTAATTTTATTGTAATAGTTTATCTTATTAACAAAAAAAAGTAAAACTAACCCCTGATTGTTTCTTAATTGCAACATAAATTTAAAAAAAAAATTTAACCCTTTTATAAATAACAATCGAGTAATAACACATTTAACTTATTATAATAAAACAATATCATCATTCGAATACTTTATATTTAAAAATTTATAATTAAAATGTATATTAATTAACAATACTGTTTTTTTAACATTATTATTATTATCGTTTATTACACACACACACCCAAAAAAAAATATCATGAGATTCATGTAAATGTCTAATCTAAAAGATTTTTCTATAATTTACAAAAAATTTATTTGTAAATTTATTAAAAAAATTTCTCATTTATTAAAATAACAAAACTTTACGTATTTTATTTATATTATAATATATATATATATATATATTATTTAAAACCTTAAATTCATTATTTTTAATACAGTTGATTAAAAAAAAAACAATAAAGCTTTATAAAATAATTTTTTTAAAAATCATTATTTGTTCGATATTATTTTTCGTTTAATTATTTATTTATTTATTATTTGGTATAATATAATTTTACATTCAGTTCATTGTTTAAAAAAAAAAAAAAAATTAACAGTTTTTATATACAAATTTACAATATAATAAAATCAATATAAAAAACAATCACAATAATATGACAAAAAAAAAAATTTGAATTGATTTTTTTTGTATTCGAATAAGCTTGCATTTAATAACTTTATTCATTTTGAATCGATTCTAATTATACATTTTATATTATTTAAAAAATTTTTTTGTAGGTTAATCAAACTGTAAAACAAACTAACTGTAAGGAAGAACTTTTTTTTCCACTTTTTTTTTTTTATTTTGTTGTTGTAAACAAATAATAATCAGGAGAGATAATTTAGCGACTGTAAAATTAAAAAAAAAAAAAAATATCTGTTTATCGTATACATAAAATAAGGTTTAATTGTTTTTTATAATATTAATTTCACTGTGAATCCCTGTTTTGTAAATTAAAAATTTTAATTTCTGGCCTGAAAAACATAAACATAATTTTTTTTTTCGAAAAAAGAAGGAAAGCAATAAATGCCTTTTAGAATAAAAATTCAGACAAATTATCAGTCTTCTTATTAATCGTTTTTTCTGGAATTATAATTTTAAGTTAAGGTCAACTAGTGATGATGACCCATTGTCAAAAGACTAGGTAATAGAGAACCGACAACAATTGCAACTAACTCAGACTTTCCTAATGCATGTCCCGAATGAGATGAATTGGCAGCTAAGGAATGATTGCTTCGGCGTACAATTAATTCTGGCAAAACGTGAACCGTTGCCACATATAAAAAAGTCCCTGCACTAAATAACATGGCTGCTCCTGTCGCATTGACCGAAGACAATGTTTCTTTTCCTTCCTAAATTAATAAAAAAAGGAATAAGTAAAAAAAAATTTTTTTGAATATTTTTTTTTTTTACTGTTCAAGCGGTTACAAACCTGTCCCAATCCGAAATAAGTTAATAATGCCATCAAAGGAGCAGCTACTGAAAAAATTAACAAATGTTTTCTAATACGAACTCTTTCTAATCCTTCATGAAGCAAAAATGTAACCAGGCCAAATGCTGCAGGTGCCTTATAATAAAAAATTATAAAATTATTTTTAACTATTGCATAACCTGAAAAAATGATTTTCAAAAAAAAAAAAAACAATTAAACCATACTTTATGTAACATAATAGCAAGGAAAATTATAATTTCTATATCGTGATGAGCTGTGCTTGCAGCTGCGCCTAAAGCCACTCCATCAGCAGCAGAATGAACAACCAAACCTATAGTCGCTGTGGCTCCATTGGTTACTCCTTTGATTGAGCTTTCTAAATCGGATATTGATGCTGTAAAATAGGAACATATGAGTAAGTAGAACGAATAAAATAATTAATTTTCAAAAAAATTCATACTAAACCTTTACTCCTAGATGAAATTTGATCTATCACAAGCATAAAAAGAAATCCTAAGACTAGAGACATTCCTATCATTCCATGAATATCATCAACATCTTGATGTACAGACACCATTACAGACCCATCTTTTTTTTCTAAAAATTAAAAATTTTTGACAAAATATATCTATCTTTGAAAAAATATAACTTAAATAATTATAAATTCATACCGTGAGATTTATGAATTAAAGACCTAACACCTTCAGGAATAATTACTGACAAAGCAGTACCTACAAGCATACCAGCTCCGAGTACTGAAACTAATTGCAGCTTCTCCTACAAAAAAAAAAAAAAAATTTAATTATATGGTTAATATTTATCCTTCACAAAATTTTACAGCATGACGAAGAGGAAAAATTAAAAAAAAAAAAAAAAAAATAATACTCATGTGAAAAATTGTGTCAGATGTTTCAAAAAAAATTTTACATTCTTTGCCATCCCTAATCAATCTAGCAATCATTGAAAAATTATAAATTGAATCAAATTATAATTACCTCTGACAGATTGACAACGAGAGGAATTGAACCAATAAGATAACTTCCAATTAACATAACAACAGCTAATAAAATTAAAACTGTAGTTTCCTCCATGGTGGTGGTGATGATCACCTAATTATTCAACGAAATAAAATCAAGTAAGGCTTCATAGGCCTTTATTTACTCCAAGGTTGCAAATTGTTTACAATAACTAGTGTAATTCTCATTATTTCAAGTTGCCATGTTTGATTTCGTTGCAAACAAGTTAACCAACAATGAAGTTTAAGAAAAAAAAAAAAAAAAAAAAATTTTTTTTTTATTAAATGTATCAAGGTTGTCTCACTTGTTGTTCGATTTTAACGGTTTGCCATTGTGAATAATTTTTCTAATAATTCGTGTAAAGTGAATTTTTGATGATTTCATAAAAAAAAACTACCGTGAACTACTTTTTAATTAAATAAAAGGTTTGTCAAATTTTATATATATATATACATAGATTATAAGAAATCATATAATTAGTTTTCAGTTGAAAAATTTTTTTAAATTAATTTTAAACTCAATTGCAGTATTAATATTTGTGTAATAATGCATCAACTTTATCCAATATCGGTTGTAAATTGGCTTCTATATCTTCAATTTTATCATAAACTCTAAAAAAAAAAAAACAATTTTACATGAGTAAAAAATTAAATGAGACATGAAATATATATATATATACATACTCATTCATCCTCCTTTTTAACAATTTAATTTCAAATTCTTCTGCTGATTCTTCATAATCTGCTATTTTAAATTCTAAATCGTTAATTATTTTATCTTTTATTCCTTCGCTCAATATATTATTCATATTAATATCATATTTTGAAAAAAATATTTTAATTTCGGAATCGGTAAAACCCGCTCTGATATGAAACAAAGAAATACATCATGTTATAGTCGTATGTTAATATGGTTAATATGTTATGTTTGTAGCTTTTATAAGCAAAAAAAAAAATTTTTTTTATTTTTTTATATTACCTTTTAAGCGTATTTATTATTTCATTATACACATACTTTTCTTTAACGTTAAATTTCGCAAATTTTTTATCCCATCCACAAGGTGTTAACACATTCATAAAACCTCTTTTTAAATAATGTCCATGTTTAGGAACTCTAGTTGTTACTTTGGTTTTAACATGAGTATAAGCATCAGTAATAATGGCAATGAAAACATTCTGTAAAAGAAAAGAATAGTAATAATAATAATTGATTTTAAATATGATTTTGGACTTTAATCAAAATTAAAAAAAAAAAAAAAAAGGGGATTACCAATGCCAAAAATACCATAAAAAATATATAAACAATATAAAAAATTGGACCAAATACTGGTTCGGCATTTTGAATTTCTTGATATTCAAATTCTCCAATAATTGTTTGTAAAAGAGACAAAGAAGAAGACCACCAAGTTCTATAATCTCTTATCTGTCAAATAAGTATTATTATTATTATAATAAATAATACTTTATAAAATGTTATGATTTAATAAGAGGATTTACCACCTGACTACCGAATAAAAGAAATCCTAATAAAGAAAATCCGGTAAACATGCTTAAAAACATGGGGAAAAAAGCTAGAATGCTTCCAACACTCTGTAACGAAAAAATAATTTTAATTAATTTCCATTAAATTTTAAAATTCTAAAATTAACATTTATTACTCACTCTAGCAATAGTATCTTGAAATTCTACCATTATTGTATTATAATTAAGATATTTAATTAATTTTAACCAAGAAAATAAAACGATGAATGCAAAATTTGTACCATATAAAAGATGTAATTGTTTTATATAATCAAATTCTGTATAAAGAGTGAATCTTTCTGCAAGACTTTTTATAGTTTTTGATACGAGTACATATAAATATAATGCGAGTATATAATGAATAATAGATAACTGGAAAAGAAAAACTTATTAATAATAAATCGTTAGGTTTTTTTTTAATTTTAATTAAATTCAAAATTCTTACCGCAATTAAAAAAAATTCAAAAATATTCCAAAAAGAAAAGAAAAATTGTAATTTTTGCGTTAATATACGATTGACCAATATATAAATAAAATAAATTAAAAAAACAAATCGTACAAATTCCAATCCCAAAACGACAAAATCCCAAAACCATAAATATTTAATTAATTTAAGTGGATGAAAATCGGCATTTGGTATCATGCCACCCATTGGTGGAAATTCAATAACAATCCTTAAAAAAAAAATTTATGTAAATTAATTGTAATGTACAATAGTTTTGTTTGTTTGTTTGTTTGTTTGTTTGTTTGTTAACCAACTTGCAAATGCAAAAATAATTAACGTTTGCATTATATATATTAAAATCAATAAAAACGGCTCTTGTCGCTCTCGATATCCATTCATTATCTCTTAATTCGTTAATTATTCTTATTGCAGATTCTTTCGTTCTTCCTAAATCTACATAATATCCACCACCGCCATAAATAGATATTTGTCCCCAATAACTACTCGTATTTAATTCTTCTGCTTCTGTGTAAACCCAACTATCCAAAAAACAAAATCTCACAGTATTTATTAACCAAAAAAAATTTAAATTAAATTAAATTAAATAAAAATTACGCAGTTTCTGATATTGTTCCCTCCATTCCAGTTTTTATCGGTTCCGTTTCTTCCGTATATATAGAATAATAACTAAAACAATGTCGGAAAAATCTTTGCATGCTGGGATGTATCAAACATGAATTATCTTCTACTCTAACTTGTCTCATTCTAGGTACACCTAATATTTCATTTTCGTAAAACATTTCTCTATCGTCGTCCATATATTGAGTATAATCGATAGGGGGGAAAAAAAAACTTTCGTAAAATAAATTTATCATCGTCGTTTCTGTAAACTAACAAACAAACAAACAAACAAACAAAATTTAACTTATTAATATATATTTAAATAAATAATTTATTAAAACGATAACTGATTTACTTACAGACCAAAAATCGGATAATGTGTGCGATTCGCTTAAAGTTTTTCCAGTCGTTATATTTTCTGCATCAATTTGAACCGACATATTTATAAAATCAGGTAGATAAGGGGTATTGAAAAATAATTGAACCGTTATATCCTTATAATAAAACATGTTTGCCGTTTGTGAATGTACCGCAACTTTAATACACGTGTAATTATTATTATTATTATTTTATCGGTAATGATAATGATGATAATAATAATAATAATGAATAATAATAATAATAGTTACCCGCAGTTAAAATAATTAAATAAATAGCATAGAAAAAAATTTGTTGAAAATATGTTTTTATAGAAAGGTCTTCTTCTTTTGATGCTGTTTAAAATGTAATTAATAATCAATCAATCAATCAATCAATTATTATTATCAATTGTGAATGAAATTAATTAATTTAATTACCTTCAAAATCGTATATGTAGGGTCCTTTAAAATCTTGTTCCGGATGTAATTTACTTTTCAATTTGAGTCTTGTTTTTGTTAATCTTCTTTTAGTCGCTTTTTTAAATTTGTTGTAAAAAAATATAGCACCCGATTCATTCTTAGGCCTGTAACCATTTCGATCAATCAATCATTCATTCATTCATTCGTGGAATGTTGGGGAGAGGGGTAGGGGTAAGGGGGTAGGGAGAGAGAAAAAGTAAAAACTCACTTTAATTTTTCATCGTCCTCTTCATCGTCCGAATCAACATCATTATCATTTTTATTTTTATCTTTATTTTTATTTATTTTTTGATTAGGTGAATTTTTATTCTTTTTCGTTTTACGTGGTTTTGGACTTTTTATAACAATGACATCTTTATTTGCAGGTTTTTCAACGGTTTCTTCAAACGCGACGTCGACATTTTGATTTGTTTCCAATCGGTAAGTTTGATTATTATTATCACCTTCGTTCGATCGGGGTGGTGGTGGTGGTGA